TCCTTATCCCGCTGGATGTACTATCATGGCTTTTCCTGTAACCCCATCGCCTGCTCTGCGACGGGCTAGTCCAACCCGGCTCGGCTTGTGCTGTCCTTTCCTGCAATGGCCTGGAGTTCCCAGCGATGCCCTTCGCTGGACCAGTGCCAGCCGGGTGCGGGGGGGCTGTGGTGTTGGCGACGGTGGTGAAGCAGGCATAATAGTTTAATAGCTGTGCAGCTTGAAATGGAACCCAGGGTTATGAAAAGCTCAATTAACGTCAATTGTGGATGGAGGGATTTTGAGTCAAAAGGGCTTGGAATCAATCTAACGGGCTTGTTTCAAACCTCATCTCTTTAATGTCATTCGGCCCGTTGCAAGGCGGTTGGCTCTGATTCTATGCTGTTCGTACTACAGCAATGCATAAGGGCCTTGACAGCAAGGGGTAGGTCTTACAGAGGCAGTGTGGTGCAGTGGTTAGAACACAGAACTGGGACTCGATAGCCTTGGGTCCTGTTCCCACTTCTGCCGCTCACCTCGAGCAAACCACTTCCCCTCTCGTGCTGGTGGCATTAATGCTTTGTGTGACCGTATCTCCCACGTGCTCTGTTCAGATTGCTGGCAAGCCCCGTGTTCTCCTCTGGACATGTACAGCTCCTGGCACAATGGGGCTTGCTTGTGACCTCTCTCATTAAAAACACGGTGTGAGAGACAGTCCCTGCCCCAGAGAGCTCGCAATCTAAATAGGCAAAGGGGGAGGGATCAAAGAGGTTTAACGAAAAGAACTGAGTGTCTGAATTCACATGGCAGGTCAGCAGCAAAGCTGGGATTAGAACCCAGGTCCCCTGACTCTCAAGGTCTGTCTTCACCACGGAGTTAACTCCCCGTGCTTGGGCTGCGCTCGCGAAGGCCATGCCTGCACTCCAGGTAGGGTGACCAGATGGCACATGTGAAAAATCGGGACGGGGGGTGGAGGGTAATAGGTGCCTTTATAAGAAAAAATATCGGGACCGCCTCTATAAAATCGGGACATCTGGTCGCCCTAACTCCAGGCTTGGGTCGACGCCAGTTACCTCGGCACCCAGCCACCGCTGTTGGTACATTGCTTGGGCGCGTGCGTCCGCTCGCCCGGGGCGCTTGCGTCGATGCAGAGTGCGGTGCACTGCGGGTAGCTACCCCGGTGTGCCACACGCCGCCGTCCCAGGCAGTGCCTTTTGGGCCATTTTCGCGATGCATTGTGGGGTAGAAATGAGTCGTGCAGGGACGACTGGAAGCAAGGAGTCAAGTTCCCATCATGCAATTTTCTCCATCCCATAATGCCATCCGTATCCTATAGACTTCTGGGGCACATCCCACAGCTCTTCGTGCTGCAGGAGGGATTCTTTCCCAGGAACATATGGGACAACTTGCCTGACCTTTCTGGGCACATGGGGGAAAATTGGAGACCGGGCAGTATTCGGATGGTGCTAGCCCAGTGTTTCTCGAATGTGGCCACCGTGGTTGCCTGTGGTCACCGGGGCTTTTCTTGCAGCCACAGCCTCCAGTGGCCCCTCCCCTGCCCCCTCTGGAACCAAAAACATCAGAGGAGCAGGCAGCCAGTGAGTTCCCCACCTCCCTGGGTGCCGTGAGGCTCTGGCTTCGGGCTTCAGCCCTGGAGTGGCAGGCAGCAGGCTCCCGTCCTGGACCCCGGCTGTGGATGCTGGTCCTCGGCTCACCCCTGCACCCCGTATCATCCCTGGCCCCCACTGCCTCCCTGCCACCCCATCCGTCCCCCCGACTCGCTCTGCCTCCCTACCCGCCTCCCCATCCAGGGCTTAATTCTGGCTTAATGTGAAAAGTGATATTAACAAATATTACTTTTCGCAACAGCAGACTTACTAGCTCGTAAGTATTTATTTATTTTTTTAAAGACACCAGAAAGCAAAAGAAACGCGACGATGACAACAACAAAAGACAAGAACGTGCAAAGCACCTTATTTGCGTTTCTATTCTGTTTAGGTCCGGTAAGGAATAGAAACAACTGTATGTTATTTTTATCATTGAGTCTGCAAAAAAACCCAACCTCTGCATAAATAAATTTCAATGGTTTGGACGGGTATATGTGCATATTTATCTGTTTTTCCTAAAGTTACTTAAGTATTTTAGGAAAAATGGTCAGAGTGGCCACCAGCAAGAGTTGATGGCCGCACTCTGAGGTCACTGGAAAATGTGCGGAGAGAAGCCCTGCGCTAGCCGGCGTTCACACTGCAGAGAGTCTGGGGCAGCAGCTGAGGGGTCTCTCCCTTGGGGCTGGCCCAACTCCAGTTACAAGCATCGTGCATTTGAGTGAAGGGTTTGTGTGTGAGTGGGGCTTGAGTTGTAACTTCTGTGTTAATTTAGCAGCGAAGGCAAGTCCTCTGCCTTTCCCCTGAGTTTTGGGGGATTGCGGGGGTGGCATCTGGAGGTTTGTGGTTTTTTTCCTACGTTGGTTCATAGTGTGTGTTTTGTGGTTGGTTGGTTGGTTTGTTCGTTTGCCCTCTGAGTTGGGGTTGACGTTGTGATGATGCTCTTTGTAGGCTTTATTTAATTGAATGCATTTAAATACTAATTCCCTCAGCAAAGAGAGTGGCACTGTAGCCATCCTCTGGCACAAGCCACAGAAAGATCTTTGGGAAACAGCTGTTTGAAGGGCGCCTAAAAGCCCGTCAAGGGCAGGTTGGGTGCTGGGCGCATAGTGACAAGCTAAGCAGACAAAGGGTGGGAGAGGATGTGTGACTCCCCTGAGGTCACACTGTGGAGCTGGGGCTTTCCTGACTCCTAGCCCACCCTGCTCTGATAACCCTGCCGGTCAGGCTGCAGAGACATCTACTCAGAGTTATTCTCCCCCATTTTACTGAGGGGGAAACTGAGGCACGGAGGGGCTAAGTGACTTGCACAAGGTCATGCAGAGAGTCTGTGGCAGAGCTGGGAATTGATCCCAGGTCTCCTGCATGCTAGGTCAGTGCCTTAACCCCTTGTGTCACTGTTAGTTAAGCATGGAAGAGAGACATTCCCACATGCCCTGGCCCTTTCCCTGGAGGGACCCACATGGCGGTGAGAGATAAGTCTTAATGGCCCGTTCCTTTCCTGAGGCTGCCAACAAGGGGGTCAGCTGGTGCTAGCTATGTCAGAGGCACCTGTCCGCTAAAGCTCTGGATTGCAGCCCCCGTCTCATTCACCTAGTTCCGTAAACAGCTGGGCGGAACGTCAGGCCCTATTGATCCGAGCCGTATTTGAACTGGTGACCTGACGAGAAGAGGGTGCCCCAGCATCCTCTGTGGGTTTAACGCAGGTCTGCGGTGCCTGGGCAGGCAAGCATTGGGGGTGGGGGGTGTCTGTGCCAGGAATCAGGAGGCGCGGGCTGTGCTCTTGGTGATGAGTGTGTCTTTCTATAGGGAACGCTGTATTTCTGCCTCTTATTTGTAGGGAGGAAGGGGAGCCTTGTGGCTAAGGCGCTGGCCCGGGAGACATCGGGACAGGGATCTATTTTGGGTTCAGCCACAGACTTCCTCTGGGACCTTGAGAAAGTCACTTAACCCCACTCGGCCACAAATCAGAGAGGAGTCTTATGCTGCTGTAATGTACGCCTTCCTTTGGCCCACTCAGCGCATAAAGAACACCAAGGCAGACTTCCTTCAGCTCGCCCCCGCTGGCTGACACGTCACGGGTGCCTTCCCCCCCGTGCTGTGAGAGCCTCGTGCGACACTGGGCATGGCAGCCTCCTGTCTGAATTCACTGCTGTAGTAGCCCCATCTATCCCGTGCGGATCCTGGTGCTCAGATCTTGTCTACCCACGAGCAGTGTAGCTAAAATCCTGCATCCCCCTCCCGGAGTGGCCGCAGGTTTACTAGTATCAAGCTGCTTATACTGGTCTAGCTTAGACCTGTATGAGGAGGGGAATATGCTCCACCAGTATAAGGCATCTTTTTACCAGGATAACTGCACCCACGCTAGAAATTGTACTGGGATAACTGTAGCCATAAAGAAAAACCTCGCCCCTAACTGACATAGTGATACCGGGACAAAAATCTCTGTGTCGTGCAGTGGTGTCCACTAGAAATTCGATGCTAGCCACGCTTGGTGGTTTTTAATTTTTCTTATTAGCCACATTATTAAAAAGCCACCTGCGTTAGCCACAATTCAATAGCCTATTAGCCAGATGTGCTGGGTAGCGCTTTGAGATCTACAGAGGAGAAGGCCTATGTATTAATTCTGAGCAGATCTTAGCGGTGACTTAAATGGCTTTCATCCTCTCCGCTGGAAGATGCTAAAGCCAGCACCAAGTTTGCTCGTCGGGTTCTGTCCTCATCCGCCCCCTTTGCACTGACTCACTGTGCAGTTGGCATCGCTGTGTCATGTCCCCAACTCCCATCTTTTTGTGTGTTTGGGGCGGGGGAGTACTTAGATAGTTCTGGTCCCTCTTCCAGGCTCGCTCCCCTTTTCAGCCGATCTGTTGGCAGAGGCGTCACAGTGCTGAGATCTTTTAATTCCCCACCATTACCTGGCTTTGTGATTTATCTGCCTCCCACGCTCAGAAGCATGGAGGCCTAGCTGTCCCGCATTTCTCTTGTGTTCCAGGACGGGGGGCTTTTTTAAAAATTTTTTTATGGCAGTTCATTAATAAACACAAGCCCTTTTCCCTGCCAGTATGAGATGGGCACCCCTCACTGCCCATTTCCTGGTCTGCTTTAAAAGAAATCTCCGACACCATCCACCAGCAGCCACCAGTGTGTCTCCCCCAGAGCTAATGCTGTGGTTAAGTGGTTTGTCCAAGTGCTTTGTTCTTGTGGCTGGGCTGGGACTTGAGAGGTTTGGGGTGACTTCAGGCAAGTCTCTCTGCGCCTCAGTTCCCTCCCCCCACCCCCCCCCCCCCCCATAAAATGGGGATAATGCTTCCTTGGTCAGCTTCTGGGGGTTGCAAGCGCTCTTGGGCCGGAGCACCGATGATTAACCACTAGGCCCTGCTTCCTCTCTTCACCCTGGCCCCTGTTGTTCTTTTGCAGTCAGGAGTCGCTGTGCCCTGGCGATTCCCGCTGAAGGCCCGTCTGAGCCGTGCGATGGACTCCATGTTCGAGGATGACATCAGCATCCTCACCCAGGAGGCCCTGTGCCAGGATGAGGTGTGGCTGGACAGCCCCAATACGGACCTCTCCAGCGAGATGTGCTCGGCTTCTCACTTTGCCCTCATCACGGCCTACGACGACATCAAAAACCGCCTGACCAGCCTGGAGAGGGAGAACTCCACCCTCAAGAGGAGGCTGAAGATGTATGAGATCAAGGTGAGGCGTGAGAGGGCGCGCGTTCTCCCCCCGCCAGATCCAGGGCGGACCTGACCCCGGCCAGGCGAATGGCACCACTGGGACAGGCGCCAGGAGTCCGGGGATAACTGTAAGAGCAGCTGTACCAGTGAGGCACGGCGTGTGCGGCTCTGGGGTCACGCACGTAGTAATACACAGCTGGGCGTGCAGCTCTGGGTTTGTACGCCTGTTCACAGCTTCGTGGGCAGCATCTCTGGGGTTTTAGATTTGATTGTGGGGGGGGGTGTTTTCTGGGCTCACGTGTTTCTGTGGGTTGTATGCGCAGTGTGCAGCTCTGGGCTTGTCCCCGTGATTGTACACCGCTGGGCGTGCAGTTTCCGGTGTCTCTAGCACAATGATGCTTAACCAGAGTGTGTCTCTGTTGCGCTCGCCGCTGGACTGAGCTCTGGGAGTCCCTCCAATCTGAGCCGAGCGCTGTTCTCCGGGGCCGGCCTGCGACTTGCTCCATTGGATGCCAGCTGGGGGCAGCCCCCGGGCTCCTGGGGAGTTGCCGGGGCTGCTGAGTTAGGGCGCCCCGTGCTGCTGTCAGCGGGTTCCTTGATGCCCATGTCTGCTTTCGCCCCGTGGCTGCAGTACCCGGTGATCGGCGAGTTCGGAGAGGAGCGCCTCTTCTCCGTCTACGACACCCAGGAGTGCTCCCTGCTGAAGAGCGAGAAGGCCAGCCTCCAGCAGCAGCTGAACCAGTTCCAGCATGAGGTGGGTGGCTCTAGGGGCTTGGCACCTCGCAGCTGGCTTGCCCAGGCCCGTTGGTTCCTAGCTGAAAAGATCAGGGTTGTGGCGAGGTCTGGGAGATGGAGCTAGCCAGGCCCTGTGCTGCAGAGGTGTCTGTGTGTCTGGAGGGCCCGATAGAGGGGGATTCACAGCCCCGCTGATTGTGTTGGGGGTGGTTTGCAGAGCCCCATAGAGACGAATTCTCAGCCTTTGGGATAGAAGGATCTGCAGGCCCCTATGGAGGAGAATTCTCAGATGCAAGGGGGTTAAGCCTGGCATCCTGGCCAAATTCCAGTTCCTGTAATTATACTTTGCCAACCAAAAAGCCCCTTCCCGAGCCATTTAAGCCGGGCATGCTGTTTTTCTTCTCTTCCTGTCTGAAACATTGCTGGGTGCTGTTAAACAGCTGCTGTGTTGCACCCCAGAGGTGGCTGCATTTCAGAGGTGGTGTCGGCCTATATAACACTTGTCAAGCACTGTGGCTCAAAGGGGCTGGGAAAATGGAAGCTATTTATTATCTTCTATCATTGTTCCTGTATCCACTTCTTTCTCTGGCTGGAGCAGGATCAGCGTCTCCCCCACTGCTAACGAATCAGAGGACCCCACGGCAGAGCGGCTCGGATCTCGGCCTTTAGTACCTTTAGCATGTGTCCATTGTTACAACGCACCCCCTGCCCTCCTTTAACAGGCCTGGAGAGGTCCGGCCAATGCTCCACTCGGTGGCGTGTCTCTCTGCTCCCTGCGAACAGCTCCCTTTGCTTCTTTCCAGCTCCAGAAGAGCAAAGAGAGAGAGGAGCAGCTGGACGAGATGATCCAGGCGTATGAGAAGCTGTGTGTGGAGAAGGCCGACCTGGAGTCGGAGCTGGGGGAGATGGTAGGTACCAGCGAGTGCCCTGCGTGAGCCGCGACCTCACGGTCTTCAACCACTCAAAAATAGGCCAGAGGAATCCAGATTGAATAATCCATAGGTAGCTAGGAAGAGGGTAGTCAGGGGGCTAAGGGCCTGGCCTGGACTGGCCTGGCCTGGGACTTAGGAGATCCAGGTTTGATTCCCTGCTGTCGCCACAGACATCCTGTGTGCCTTGGGCAAGACCCTTAGTCTCTGTGTCTTCCCCATCTGTGCAGTGGAGTAACAGCGCTGTTGTGAGGACAAATGCATTAAAGACTGAGGCACTTAGATGCTGTGGTAATAGGAGGCGGCATAAGGTACCAGATAGTCTGTTTGTTCTGTCCTTTGATCTTGGAGTCTCTCTGGTGGCAAGAACAGGGGACTGAGAGACAGGACTCTTTGGTTCCATCCCTGGCTCTCACAGGGAGTATGGCCCAGGTCCCCAAAGGTATTTAGGCCCCTAACTTCCTGGAAGTTTAGGGGCCTGTCTTTGCTGCTCTGGGCCTGTTTGTAGGGAACCGGTGTCAGGACTCCAGGATTCTATTCCCAGGACTCCTGGGTCCTATTTCCAGTTCTGCCGCTGACTCGCTGTTGCTGGGCAAAACGCTTCACCTCTCTGTGCATCTGTCAAGCAGGGCTGATGACACTGACCTGCTGTACTCTACCTCGCGGGGCTTCGCTCGTTTGAGCTCTGTGCTAGGGGAATGCAGAGCGCTCCAAGACACAATTACTGTAATGGCTGAATTCGTGCATCGGGCAGTATAACTCGATTACTTACCTCGGTTAATGCCTGAATCAGAGTCCGCTGCAGTGCGGCTTTGAACGTGACTTTTCCTAATGCGTCTTATCACTTCCCCTTCGCTTTGGCAGTGCTCTCGGCTCCCTCGGGCTTCCTCTTTGCTTCCAGCTGTACCCCGGCCTTGTGTTGCTCTCAGAGCTGCATGAAGACTGCGAAAATGCTTCCACGGCTAGTCATTTGGGCCCAGATCCACAGGGGTATTTAGAATCCAAACCTCCGTTGGAAACCTAGAGCTTAATTTCTCTGAGAGTTAGAAAGTTTTTCTAATATCTAACCTACATCTCCCTTGCTGCAGGTTAAGCCCATTACTGCTTATCCTACCTTAGAATCATAGAATATCAGGGTTGGAAGGGACCTCAGGAGGTCATCTAGGCCAACCCCCTGCTCAAAGCAGAACCAATCCCCAACTAAATCATCCCAGCCAGGGCTTTGTCAAGCCTGACCTTAAAAACTTCTAAGGAAGGAGATTCCACCACCTCCCTAGGTAACGCATTCCAGTGTTTCAGCACCCTCCTAGTGAAAGTTTTTTCTAATATCCAACCTAAACCTCCCCCACTGCAACTTGAGACCATTACTCCTTGTTCTGTCATCTGCTACCACTGAGAACAGTCTAGATCCATCCTCTTTGGAACCCCCTTTCAGGTAGTTGAAAGCAGCTATCAAATCCCCCCTCATTCTTCTCTTCCGCAGACTAAACAATCCCAGTTCCCTCAGCCTCTCCTCATAAATCATGTGTTCCAGTCCCCTAATCATTTTTGTTACCTTCCACTGGACTCTTTCCAATTTTTCCACATCCTTCTTGTAGTGTGGGGCCCAAAACTGGACACAGTACTCCAGATGAGGCCTCACCAAAGTCGAATAGAGGGGAACAATCACGTCCCTCGATCTGCTGGCAATGCCCCTACTTATACACCCCAAAATGCCACTGGCCTTCTTGGCAACAAGGGCACACTGTTGACTCATATCCAGCTTCTCGTCCACTGTAACCCCTAGGTCCTTTTCTGCAGACGCACAGAGTAGTCGATTGCAGTCCTCTTTGTAACAGCCTGTAACATATTGCAGACTGTTCTCAGGTCCCCCCAAGTCTTCTTTTCTCAAGACTTAAACACGCTCAGGTGTTTTTGTACTTTTTTTCCCCCATGCGTCGGGTTTTCTAAACCTTTGATCGTTTTTGTGGCTCTCCTCTGGATTCTCTCCAGTTTGTCCACGTCTTTCCTAAAACGCGGTGCCCAGAACCGGACACCGTACTCCAGCCGAGGCCCCTCCAGTGCCGAGTAGAGTGGAATAAATCCCTCCCGTGTCTTAGGGCTTACAATTCTGGAGTGGCGCTGTTAGCCCTTTAGCAAAGACGCTGCCCGTGCTGCCGGGATTTCTTCTCCCGTTGGCCTCCGTGAGTGGCAGTAGCCAGCATCCTCCCATCAATCTACCTCTGTCTGTAGCAGTGATGTAGTTATACCAGCCTAAGTTCCGAGTGTAGATGTCCAACACCCTTGTTAACACCCCCCAGAATGATATTCGCCTTTTTGACATCGCACTGCTGACTCATACGCCCTTTGTGATTCACCGTAACCCCCAGATCCTTCTCAGCAGTACGAACACCTAGCAGTTATTTGATCAAAAGGGATTTGATTTCTCCCCCCCTCCCCCAGTGTATTTTGCGCTTGTGTTTATTGAATTTCATCTGGTTCATTTCAGACCAATTCTCCAGCTTGTCAAGGTCTTGTCCTGTCCTCCCGAGTGCTGTTAACCTAGTTGTTGTTATGTGGGCTAGGTAAAAACCTCTTATGTTCATTAGTTTAACAACCACCCTTCGTTTTGGTGGAATGTAAGAAACAAAAGTGGTCTCCAAGACAAAGGCGCACCCAAGGCCACCCAGAAATTCAAAAGATCAGGCAAAGAGGATCCAGCTGAGTGTTGTTTTTGGGATACGGACATGTCTGTGTGGATGGGACAAACAGCACAGGAGAGAGACACAGGGACTGTGTTTATGCAGCGCTCAGGTTGTGACAATTGAGCTGGTGGCTTTTGATGCGGTCGACTGTCCATTGCTGAGAGGTTCCTAAGGTGGGATTTTTCCAAAGTGTCTAAGGGAGTTAGGCACCCGACTCCTATTGTAATTTGAAAATCTGCCCCTCCACGCTGGGTGTATTTCAGCTACTGAATCTCATAGGTGTTTGTGTACCCGCCTGGTGAGTGTGTGTTACAGGTACCGATCTGTGGGGGATCAGAGCCTGTTACACAGGCCAGCCGCAGAGCTTTCGCTCAAGCGGTAACGGCTCCTGGTTTTCGGTCACGAGGTCCTCAGTTCAATCCCTGGTGTGTCAGTCACAGTGGCGGCCGTCAGATTCGCTCTCGGGCTCTGACATGTATGTTCAGATTGTACAGCCCCGTACGCTACATGGGGCCAGGCCTCCTGCAGGAAGGGCCCACAAACCACGTGGTGTGCAAAGGGTTGTGTGTGCAGGGGAGGGGGGGGGCTATACTTGTAGCACAGATCTCTTACCTTCACCCTCTCTTTCTGCACCCCTTTTTTTCCCTCCTCGCCAGAGAGCTTTGGTGGAGACTCATCTGAATCGGATCCGGAGCCTGGAGCAGCAGTTGAGACAGAGAGATGGCAACTCCTTCCAGAACCTCAACTCCCAGCTGCAGAACCAGGAGGTCCAATACCTGTCTCTCCATGGCAGCCCTGGCCTGACACATGGTGAGTCTTTCATTTCTGGCCCGGGAAGATGTTTGGCTTTCCCCAGCGTGGACCCTTCATAATGTTGTCCATTGTAGAGGGACTTGTAATACATGGGGGGCTTATGCCCTCGCTGGCCATGATTCCCAGCTCCTTAAGGCCACTTTTCTGCTCACTGCATTCTGGGGCAGTCATGGGCCTGCTCAGTCATTGGTGTTTAGAGCAGCCTCAGGGTTGCTCTAACTTGGTCTGCTTTGCATGGCGTTGTATGGGCCCTGGGAAGCAGAGAATAGTTGGAGTGCGCTGCCCTCTCCCTCCCTATCCCAGCCCCCAGTCCCGCTGTGAGCTCAGTGAATATTTTATAGGGTTTCTAGATTTTAGCACCAAAAGGCATCATTATGACTGTCTAATCCAGTGGTTCTCAACCCAAGGCCCATGGGCTGCTTGTGGCCCAATCAGCACGCAGCTGCGGCCCATGTGACATCCTCAGGGCCATATTGGTAGTATATATATTGTGTGGATGCAGCCCACCGAACACATCAAGAGCTGCATGTGTGACCCACAATGGTAAATAGGTTGAGAACCACTGGGCTAATCTAACCTCCCGCACAACGCAGGCCGTGGAATTATACCATACATAAGAACGGTCAGACCATAGGTCCATCTAGCCCAGTGCCCTGTCTTCCGACAGTGGCCAATGCAGGTGCCCCAGAGGGAATGAACAGAAGAGGGAATCATCAAGTGATCCATCCCGTCGCCCATTCCCAGCTCCTGGCAAACAGTGGCTAGGGACACCATCCCTGCCCATCCTGGCGAATAGCCATTGATGGACCTATCCAGGGGTGGTTCTGAGTCCGGCCTGTTAGCTTACGGAGTACTATGGGCTGTTGATGCTCTCGGTATATTTATGTCCCCCTGCTGAAAAGAACGGCTCTTGGCCACACGTCTCTATGGCCCCACGCCCGGTTTGCTAGGCCGCTCGAAGGGCGCGGGGATCAAAACCCGTGCGGAGGCACGGTGCTTTCTGGCCAGCAGAGGGCACTGCCGCCCCTCCGTTTGTCGCTTCTGTTTCTAAAGCCTGCCCCAAGCCCGGTTAATGGCCCGTTTCAGACTCCCTGCCACCCGGAAACACCAAGTCTGTTTCCACGGCTTTCGTGAGGGAGATTGCGCCGGCCACCTGTTCACAACTGGGTGGCAGCTCCCGATGAAGTGACAGCCATCGGCACTCTGATGGCACCCGGCTCTCCGAGCGGGAGGGTGGCTTTGAGGATGCTGGCCAAGTTATGCCGCCCTCTGGGAGCCAGGCACCGTTCTCCTCTAGAGTCGCGGGGGGGGAAGGAGAGAGGCGCAGAGACCTGGGTGGGGGGGGAAGCAAGCTTCCGGTTCCGTGCCTGGACCCCACCCCTCTGTGAGCTGCTGTCAGAGTGGACCACAAAGCAAACCCACCGGCTCTTTGATCACCAGCTGCTTCTCCTAGTGGTGGTTTCACCAATGAGTGCCGCGGGGGCTTTGCTGGTGGTGGGAGAATGAATGGCTGATTTTTCCCCCCCCAGCCGCCCCCGGCTGCTTGTGGCTTGACTCGTGTTAAAGGTTCCCAAGATTCGAATGATCCCCCTGCCATAGAAAAGGGACCCCCAGCCACCCCCTGTGACGACTTCACCCCTGAGAGCCACAGCCGCCAGCCTGATCCGTCCAGCGCAGGCACTTAGGGGATGAGCTGCAGCGGAATAAAGATGCTCTAATCACGGCAGCTATCCAGGGGCGAGTCACTGGGGCGAGCGTGAAACCTGCCGCTCAATATCATTAAAAGGAGGAGTCGTTGAAAACCCAAGAGGAAGCTGTCACCTTGGGTGTCCGGGAACCAGACGTGGGCTGCTGGCCAGCTCAGCTGGATCGATGGATGCCCGCTGGGGATCTGGCCCCTTGGCCCCAGTGGAGTGACGCTGGTTTGCCCCAGCGAGGGATCAGGCCCTGGGGCTTTTAAGCCGGAGCTCTCAGGCAGGTTCTTGCTGCTCTTACTGGGAGCGCGCCTAACACGGACATGGGGCTGCTTGGTGTATCTGGTCACGTCTCCTCCTAGTGACCAGCCCTGGCTAGGAGAGGGGCCTGGCTAATGCCTTCACTCTGCCGGCTCTAGGGGCAGCAGGCAGTGCCTTTGAGGTGCAGGGCCCTGGTTTGCTCCTAGCTGCAGACTGGGGTGCCCGTTTGTCCGTGGCTTCTGTTCCCTGGGCGCTTCTTGCTTTGCTCTGTTACACACACAGGGCTGGTCATTCGCCTCTTTCTGTGGGGCTGATCCCAATAGGGCTTTTGTGTTCTGACCTCCCCCCAGGAGAGGGATGCTGGCGGGAGGGAGCCAGCCTGTGCCAGTTGGGGTGGGTCTGCCTCCCCCCATCACCTCCCTTCACCGTCATTGTCCTATCCCTCTCTCCAGTGCTGGATCGGTCCATGAGCTGGCAGAGCTCCCGCAGCCTGGAGCAGCCCAGCGAGCTGGAGGTGCACAGGCTGGAGGCTGAGCTGGAGGAGGCCCGGCACGAAGCCCAGAGCTCGCAGCGCCGGGAGGAGCAGCTGAAGGCAGAGTGCGAGAGGCTGCAGTCTGAGTTGAAGCAGCTCCAGGAGACCCGGGCGCAGGTGAGGGGGCAGTCGGGCCGCTGCGGGTGTTTGTCTGGGCCCGATTGTGCCCTGGACTCCTTGCAGGATCAGGCCTTGTGAAAGACCGGAGGCCCAGTCCTGGCTGGCGCCTTGTTGGCATTTGGAATCGGGACTTCTGTTTGCCGGGAGCTCCCAGGGCTGGTTGTAAACCTGTGTCTCCCCCCACAAGCTGAGAGCTCAGGCAGGGCCGGGTCCCGCTCTCGGCCTCCCTGCTGTAACTCCGGAGCCTGGGTGGAGTCATGACCGACAGAGAGCCGAGCCCGGTCCTGGTATCTTTCCCTGGCAGAGGGGGCAGCTGCTTGTCAACCGGAACGGAGATCTCCAAGCGCACAGGGATTATTGGCTCTGCCTGATCCCTCTGGCAGGGGGCTCGCGCTTGGCTGCGGGAGTTTGGAGCTCTCTGCTTTGTGTCCCCCGGGGTCCCGTCTCTGGTGCAGAGACGTGGGGCCGGTAGGACTGGTGCAAGGTTTGCTCTGCTGGCCCTTACTTAGGCTAGAGGCAGTGGGACACTGGGGGAGATGGCTGTGCCCCTTCTGTGGCTGATCCACAGATGATAGCCTGCCACCGCCCTCTGCTAGCGGGCCAAGTCCTGCAGCTCAAATGCCAGATGCCAGTTCTCTGGGGCTAGAGGCCCTTGGTCCAACCCCTGCAGCTGACCCCAGCTGTGCCTCCCCTGGGGAAGGGATTCCATGTGGCGGCTTGATAGGGGTGTGTGGCTCTCGGTCTATCCTGAGAGAGCAACACCCGGGGAGAGAGGGGATGGCTGGGTTACCAGCTGCGGAGACTGAGAAATCTATCGGGACCGGGATGGGAGCCACCCTGGAACGTGTGCATGAAGGGTTAGGGTGCCCTGCTGATGGTAATGGGCGGTTTGTCTGATGTTCCCTAGGACCTGGCGACCAGTCAGTCGGAGCGGGACATGGCCTGGGTGAAGAAAGTCGGTGATGACCAGTAAGTGCCCGTCAGTATGGACGGACGTGCTTCTGCGCAACCCGGGGAAGGGGGAGAATCCTGCTCCGCCCGATGCAGGATGTGGGTGGCCAGAGCTGCAGGGCGAATGACTTGGCAGCTGGATGCTTCTCTTGTCCCTGAGACGGCCCAGGGACCTTGGTCTGAAATGGCTCTTAGTGGGAGAGAGACGGTGAGCGGCACGGTGAAAGGGCCCCGTCCCTCAGCTGTTTGCCTGCTCTGAGTCTCTGGATCAATAGTGCCCGTGGGCCTGAGCCACCAGCCCTCCCTCCCGTTGGTGTCGGTGAGCGGCGGGGGCTGCGGGATCAGGCCCTGTCTGTGTTTCCACCGGATCCAGCGCTGAACCATCCCTGGCTTCAGCTCAGCAGGGGGCCCTGACTTTCCAACTTTTCTGTACTGGGCTGGGGCAGCCTGATATTCCAAAGGGGTGGAATGCCCGGAGCCGCCGATTGAAGTTGGCAGGTTCTTGGCGCAGTGAAAACAGGGTCCCCTTTTCGCGGCCTCAGGTCAGGCTCCCTGGATGATGGAGGCACTTGAAACCCCTGGCTGAAAACGCAGCTGGGTATGACTTGCCCAGGGAATCTGTGCAGAGCAGGGGAGAGAACCCAGGAGTCCTGGCTCTTCGTTCCCTGCTCTAACCGCTGGCCAGCACTTCCTCCTGCTAGGCCGCTCTCCCTCCCGGGTCTTAATCGGCCAGGAAAATCTCCCCTTCCCTCTGCTGCTACCCCGCCAGGATGGGGAAATGCTCAGCCCCTCCTGGGGCCTCCAGGGAAAGCCCGGTTGGTAAAGAGAGACTGCAAGGTTCCCCTGCCGCGGAGCAATGGCTGGACCGTGCCTCTGGAGATGATACAACCCGGTACCTCCTCTGCTGCCCAGCTGACTCTCAGAGCCCCTTAGCGCCTGTCTCCTCCCCCCAATGGGCTCCTGCTGGCCCCCTGGCCTGGCGGTGAGATTCCCGGGGTGAGGGTCACCGCGGGAGCTGTGTGTAGCTGGGGATGGGTTTGGCCGTGGGGGGGCTAGGGGGCTGCAGTGTGTGGCGGAGGGATACTTTGTGTGTGTGTGTGGGGGGGTGAGTACAGCATGTGGATAGGGGTACCTAGGGGAGGGCATGGGGGGTGTGTGGTCTGTGGTGCAGGGCTATCAGGGGAAGAGGGTGGTGTGGCGTAGGGATACCGTGGGGAAGGGAGTGGGGGTAACAGCATGTGGCGTATGGATACCGGGGGGAGGCAGGGCTAGTGGCAAATGGCGTAGGGATACTGTGTGGTGGGGAGGTACGTGGCATAGGGATCTCTCTCGGGTGAGGGCGTACACATGTGGCATAGGGATACTTGGGTGGGGGGGGGCAGCGTGTGGCGTAGGGATGTCTGATGGGGGGGCAGCGTGTGGCGTAGGGATATCTGATGGGGGGGGACAGCGTGTGGCGTAGGGATATCTGATGGGGGGGGCAGCGTGTGGCGTAGGGATATCTGATGGGGGGGGGGCAGCGTGTGGTGTAGGGATGTCTGATGGGGGGGGGAGACAGCGTGTGGCGTAGGGATGTCTGATGGGGGGGGACGACAGCGTGTGGCGTAGGGATGTCTGATGCGGGGGGAGACAGCGTGTGGCGTAGGGATGTCTGATGGGGGGGGGGAGACAGCGTGTGGCGTAGGGATGTCTGATGGGGGGGGAGACAGCGTGTGGCGTAGGGATGTCTGATGCGGGGGGGAGACAGCGTGTGGCGTAGGGATGTCTGATGGGGGGAGACAGCGTGTGGCGTAGGGATGTCTGATGCGGGGGGGGAGACAGCGTGTGGCGTAGGGATGTCTGATGGGGGGGAGACAGCGTGTGGCGTAGGGATGTCTGATGCGGGGGGGACGACAGCGTGTGGCGTAGGGATGTCTGATGGGGGGGGAGACAGCGTGTGGCGGAGGGATGTCTGATGCGGGGGGGAGACAGCGTGTGGCGGAGGGATGTCTGATGCGGGGGGAGACAGCGTGTGGCGTAGGGATGTCTGATGCGGGGGAGACAGCGTGTGGCGTAGGGATGTCTGATGGGGGGGGAGACAGCGTGTGGCGTAGGGATGGCTGATGCGGGGGGGGACGACAGCGTGTGGCGTAGGGATGGCTGATGCGGGGGGGGGGGGGGACAGCGTGTGGCGTAGGGATGTCTGATGCGGGGGGGGGACGACAGCGTGTGGCGTAGGGATGTCTGATGCGGGGGGGGGACGACAGCGTGTGGCGTAGGGATGTCTGATGCGGGGGGGGGGACAGCGTGTGGCGTAGGGATGTCTGATGCGGGGGGGGGGGACAGCGTGTGGCGTAGGGATGTCTGATGCGGGGGGGGGGGGCAGCGTGTGGCGTAGGGATGTCTGATGCGGGCGGGGGTGGGGGACAGCGTGTGGCGTAGGGATGTCTGATGGGTGGACTTTGGCGTAGGGATACCAGTCCCTCGCCGAGTGGGTGCAGCCCGGCACTGCCTGGCCGGTGTAGGGGGTATGACCCGTTCAGGGATCCTGATCTGCTTGTGCACAGTCTTGTCCACGTGCCCCCAGTGATACATGCACACGCTCCCCGTGGCATGCGTGCCCCGTGGCTGGTGTAGCAAACCCTGTGAGAAAAGCCCGGCGGGTTCTGCTCCTAGGGTCCTTCTCCCGCACGGTTTCTCCCCGAGTGCCCTCGCCCAGCGCTGGTATCACATAGCACCCGGCTGACACTTCCTGTCAACCCATCGGGAAGCGTCTCCCGGGAGAGCTGTCGCAGGCCGACAGGCGAGGCGCGTGAGCGGCCCCTGCACGGCAGAGCTCCCTGCACTGAGGGGGGCAGCCCAGGTGAAGCGGCTGGGTGGCTGCGTTCCGGGGGGGCAGCAGCGAGCTTGTCCTGGTGCCTGGCATGATGAGTGTCAGATGGGCGACGGGTTTGACCCTCCCTTCCCCACCTTGTGCCCCATGCACAAGGGCAGGGCGCAGGAGAGGTGCTCGTCCCCCGCGAGGGCATGGCCCGTGTCCCTCCGCACTCAGAGCAGGCTGGCAGTAGGAGTCTGGGGTCCTTGCTGCAGTCTCCAAAGAAGGTAGCGAAGTTCTGGGAAGCCTTGGTCGCCCCCTGGGCAGCGTCCCCAAGGGTGGCGCAGCCATGTGCGGTCCGCAGCCTGGCCCTAAAAGGTTAAACCTTGCAATACCCGGTGAGGGCGGTAGCTACGCTTCTATCAGTGCACAGAGGGGTAAACTGAGGCACAGAGTAGGAAGGTAACTTACCAAAGATCCCATTGGCTGCTGCAGGAGCTCAGTACTTCACAGAATCATAGAATATCAGGGACCTCAGGAGGTCATCTAGTCCAACCCCCTCAATCCACAATTTTTGCCCCAGATCCCTAAATGGCCCCCTCAAGGATTGAACTCACAACCCTGGGTTTATCAGGCCAATGCTCAAACCACTGAGCTGTCCCTCCCGCCTGGCCCCACCCTCCCCCCGGATACTTGGACAGGAAAAGAACCCAGCAGGCCTCTGCTCTAATCACTAGTCCACAGTGTGGATCATTGGTCTGGTGGGTAGGACACTGGATGGATTTTTGGAGACCCTGGGGGCTGTTTCCGCCTCGGCCACTAACCTAGTGTGTGCAACCTTAGGTAAATCCCTTCCCCTGTCTGTGCTTCTCTCTCCCTTCCCCACCCTGTGGTTTCCTTGGGGTAGGGACTGTCTCCTTCTGTATTTGTACAGCGCTGAGCACCAAGGGGGTCCCGATCTCGGGGGAGGATTCTAGGTGCTACTGTCGTGTCCTGCCGCTCGTAACGCGTGTCCTAGCGAGTTCTAGATGCCTGATCTCTCTTGTTCTTCGGGGCACTGGAGAGACTCAAGCCTACCTGATGGCTTTTCTATTTCTCGCAAAGGATTATCTCCTGTTCAGTGTGACAACAGAAAGGTGGGAATATTGCACAGAGCCCTGCTAATGCCCCGGCGTGGTTATTGAACGGGCTGTCCCCAGCTCGGCCACCCCCATCTTGGGAGCGCCTGTGACTCCCGAGCGCACATCAGCTGCTGAAGAGTTGAAAATAAACGATTCAAAGCCGCTTGGCCTCGCCTCCTTTCCCTGAGGCCCTGGAAGCCAATCGACTGTCTGAACTCTAATGGGCGTTGAAAAATACCTGCCATGGCTGGGAAGATGGAGATCTGCGGCTGACATATTTCTCCCCTCCCTCCTGCTGTTGAACCAGTGGTGGGTTTTGTGACAATCACTGGGAAGTCGAGGGCAGAACGCGTGGGGGCTGCATGCTTACAGGGTCTTTTGGGTGTCTGTCTCCCGGCTGCCCGTTGCCTTGCCTCTTATGGTGAGGTTCATACCGGTGCTGGTGAGGGCCCCCCCTTCTCCCCCCCCCCCGCTGTGCCTGATCTGCAGAGGATATGAGCCAGCTGGGGACGCTTGACTGTGTCATTCAAGCGATGGCAGCTCCTGCTTTTAGCTCTGGGGTTCCCCAGTTCAGTCCCTGATGTGTCTCTCACAAGGGGAAGGCGTAGCAGACCAGCCATGTGTGTTGGTGGTGACATAGACTGACAATTTCCTGCAATATCCTGAACGGACTTCATTGAATTCGGTTAATGCCTTTGGGGTCCATTGTCTTAAAAATCCCTGTGTGTGTCCCCCTTGTGGAATTGTCTGTTTCCACAGGAAGGGTGAATAGAACAGCAGGGGGTGACTGACGGGGCAGATTCACTCAGGTTGTAACACCTCCGGAGAAACGGCACCAACATGCACTAGGATTTGGATAAGGAGCCTGGTTTTAAACAGGCCTTCTTCCTGATCCAGCAAACGGACAGGTCCAGGGAGGGCCCCAAACCTTAGGGAGGGTTGGAAGGACTGGGGCTTGTTCGATGCTGAAGCAGTGATGAACTGGTAACCTCAAGGACTTCCCTGGGGTGGGTGGGGGAGGGTTGAAGAACTTACCCCGACCCTAGCAGGGATTCGGGCAGGATGAGTTCTGGTGAGCTCATTAGCATGCACGTGGGTTCTTG